TCAGTTCTTCTATACGGATGGATCAGAAACTTGGCGGGTCACAAAGAATACTTCCAGCAGGTTGCAGACCTTTATCAACAACTGTCTTCGTTCTATACTCAAGATCAGATGGCCGGAAAGAATCACTGACAAGAAACTATGGGAACAAACAAAACAAGAACCAATCGCCCAACAAATATGCAGGAGAAAGTGGAGATGGATTGGACACTCGCTGAGGAGGCCACTCACTGGGTGACATCGCGCGTCAGGCCATAGCTCGAGTGGAACCCGAAAGGGAAGCGGCGAGTGGGTCGTCTTAGATTGACATGGAGGAGATCGTGTGAAGAGGAGTTGGAACAGCATGGACTATTATGGATGCAAGTGAAAAGTACAGCACAAGACAGAAGCAAGTGGAGACGTGTAGTTGAAACCCTATGTTCCACTAGGAACCCAAGGGAACAATAATAATAATAATCACCCTTTCAGAATTAAATCAGTCTGTTTTCTTTTCCTCAGTGTTACGTGTTTCAAAGATAGGAAGATGTGTTCAGCCTTTGAGATGTCAGTATAAATTTCTCACGTAATATAATTGAATTCTCCATACTTTTGGTTGACTGTGAAATAATGGTATAGCTGAATCATTTAATTTTAAATATTCCTAGAATGATAATTATAGAACATGATTTAAACAAATACTTATTTTCGATAAATCCTAATCAGCCTTTACATTTACATAATGAAATATTATTCATAGGCATTCGTTGTATAATTCCAAAGCAGGTAAGGGATAAGCTACAGTCTAGCCACTTCAATGTGGATTTATAAATTTAACTGTTCATGTGGAGCAGTTACATAGGCAGAACCACTTTGAAAGCATATCGTCGCCTTCTGCAGCACTGCCCAACGCGATTAGGTCGAAATGTTTTGAAGTCAGTCAGAAGTTGCATACTGGCACCCTTAGTTGATACCGAGTACAAGATTGACAAACAAATTCAGCTTTCAAAATTCTATACACGGTGCCACCTCAACTACCTAGCTTCGTACGCCTTCGGTTGCCAAGTCTAGCTGAGACAATTGTCATAAAGATTTTTCAACCCAATCTCTGTGTTCAGAAAGAGTTTGTTCATTATCTCTCACTCCTTTGACCTTGACTCCCAACGTAGAACAGTTATCTCTCTGGGTGGGAACAGATAACTGCAAATACTATCTTATTATTTTATTTGTAATGCTAATTGTAATCTCAATATCATGCTGTGCAGTAGTTGTACATTTTAATCTCGGTGTCACAATTTATTAGTTTCAGATTATCTAGTTGCTATGTGACAATAGTTATTTTACCCTATACCCGTATGCTCATTCTACCTACACACTCACTGTTGCCTAGATTATATCCTTGTTATTATTATTATGATAACCTCCGCTGTTATCCATTAATTCACATCTATGAACTCTGATTCTTTGTTTTATTAACCCCATTATATCAAATGCCTCTGACTAATATGTTATGATGTAAATGCAGTGTGCATCGATAAGCATAACTTTAGAATGCTTGCCAACCACGCATATGGTCTGGGATTCAGTCCCCGGCCGACGCACTGCTAAACACGTGAAAATAAACACCACTGCTCCCGAAACTTCAAGCCTCTAGCTTGAAGCCCTATGTTCCACTGGGAATGTGATGGAATAAAAGTAGCCTGATGAGAATTTACTGAATCATTTAGCATAAACACTGTATACCATGATCAGGGCGAGTATTATTTGCTATGCCCTGACGTTTGACGTTTGATTATGGATGTTTAGTTACTCTGGGTTGATAACATTTTCAACATGAGTGTGCTGGTGTAGTCGGAGGATGAAAAACAGAAGATTTAAGAAGACTAAACTTGTTTTAGACCTTCATCTATTGATTAAGCCTACTTTCATTCGATCGTGTTACACATATTTATACCTATAATCATTCAACACCAAATTAAATTGTCAAGATGTCTTATAGTGGTTTGCAGAGTTATAAGACATAACGTACACATATTTGTGATTTCTGAATTCACTATAGATAGATAGTTAAATTTATCTGAACTGAGAATAAACAACCATTGGTGAAGAATAGTATGAATCCATTTTATTGCGTCAGTTCTCATCAGCTGCGTACAACCTGTCACATTGAGTCACATAAACATGCATATATCGATTCACTTGTTTTGTGGAGCTGAGTACACTTGTCGTACCATGCAACACTTTCTGGATTTGTTAGCGAAGGAGGAAGTCAAGTGTGTTTACAATTCGGTAACAGGATATCAGGTGAATCCAGGATATTCAGCTCTATTTGAAAAATCCTTCAAAGTTATATACAAGATCCTATCACTCTCTCTGTTAGAGGGAGTAAAATCAACACATCTGGGAGTACCTAAGGCGCTATCGATGGAAAAGTCCAAACCCATGTTAGACATCAAAAAAATACACCCAGCTATTGTCCCTACCATGGCCATCATAAAAAGTCAGTCCTCTCAGTAATGATCATTCTATTACCTTTCTTATCTAGTTTCCCTGTATATTTCGGTTATTTTTACGTGTGTCATTTTAAATTCCTATCTTAATTACCATGTTTTTATCTGAACTTTCTGCCCATTTGGTTAGTTCTATGCTTTTAATCAATGATTGTGCAAACAGTCTAGTTTCCCAAGTATTACGATCTTACTTTGTCTTTTTTCGTCTACTCTTCCTGTTTATTACACTTCGTAGTTTTGCAATACTTAACCTTCGACCGGGAATAATTCTGGAACTTTCTCAAGCATATACCATAAATGCATGCATGTACAGCCTTCTAGTTGATGACTTTTTTGAAAAGAAAATCTTCTTCTTCTCTGCAACCTTCTTTTTTTAATAATTCCTATGATATGATATTCAATGGAACCAGTTATCATACATTTTTAACATGCATTTTGTTCATTGTCATGAGCCACTCCTCCGGTAAGGTTAGCTGTAGGGAACTCGTCATGAAAGAAAACACTGGGATGATGAGTTTATCTCAAATTATTAGTACATATATGATATATATACCTTTAACAGGAGGAGAGCTTTTCATAAAATTCAGCAAATTTGCTATCGGGGTGGTTATAAATCAGTGACAGCTACGCAATCAGGTATAATAAAATACAGTGATTCCAACCCCTAAGGTTGCGAAGTCAGAATTCGGTGTGTGAGAAGTCTAATGAAAAGACGATAATGGAATACACTGAGTAGGGTTTAAGGGTTGAAAAATTAAGTCAAGCGAGAAACGAGGCCGGAGGTCAAAAGAGATTGATGAAGACAATCAAGGCCACTAACTTTTCGCCACCCTATCAACAAACAAAATTTTTGAATTGTAAGCAGGAAACTTCGCTCCTATAATACACATATATAAATATATACACCGAAACTTTGAGGTAAACTCGTCACCCATATGGCTCATTTTACAATGACTTTCGTACAACAGTCCTTACTAGAGGGCTGTCTCCCGATGATAAAGAAAATATAAATTAGAAGTGTATTGTAACTGGTTTTATAAAGTGTTACAGCTTTATGCATCTCATGCGAATCGACGAAATAAAATGGATCTATATTGTTCCAAACCAGTGTTTATTCTATCTCTGTTCGTGTGTGAAGCAGTATTTGTGTTGAAACGTATATATGTGTTCCCGGTGGATTTCTGACTTTAGAAACGATTGTTACAACTTTGAATTTTTGATAGGGTATACTACTTCCAAAGGCTGTGGAGACGCCTTGTAGCTAAATAAAAATGGAGATGAGTCGAAATGGTTCAAGAAATCAACCTGCAGACAATAGATTCCAGTCGCAATCCATTAACTTCAGTCCTCATAAAATAAATACAGCTCATAGCCTGGTGTTCATTGAAGCAGAAAAAATAGAGGTGGATTGGGCACACCCTGAGGAGACCATCGATTAACATCGCATACCAGTCACACCGTCGAGTGGAACACGGAGGAGATCGTGCGAAGGGGAGATGAGAGACTATTGGCAGTCGCGGGCCCAGCTAAAGAATACAGCAGAAAATACATCAAAGTGGAGACGTTCTATTGAGGCTTTATGTTCTACTAGGAACCCAAAGGAACAATAACAATAATAATATTTTAGTGTATGCAAATTGTATTCTGGGTAAATACATTCAAACATATAACGAGTTAAGTAGAAATAAACACATAACTTTGTTGTACGGCTAATAACCTGTACTAGTACAACAGTTTTAAATTTTTTTCGTTTTAATTAGTTTTATTTAGCTGACAATTTATTTTATTATACATTTATGTCAAGAAAGATTTAGGGATCCAGTTACTAAATATCATTTCATTTAGGCTAAACTTTATCATCCTTCCTTTGATCACACTTTTTTACTTCTTTCATAAGTATTCACTTATTTTCGATGTCGTCATCAGTATCTTTCTTTTCATGTATTTCACTTCGAAAAGAAACTTTGATGAATCCTGGTCTCGAACTGTGTAATTTTCGAATTTCTAATTTGATTCTATGTATGCATTAACAGTTCTTCCGAATAGTTAACTACAGTCTGGATGGTTTGAACCAGTTCGGTTACCTGAGGGGGAGTGAATCCGGGTGGGTCGCTGATTATCTTGGTTCTAAACGAGCCAAACGACTGATCACTTCAACCTTTACATCCATAAAATTTAGAATGCACGTTTCGCCGTATTTGGGAATTCTTATTTGCATGAACCTGTATCCCCAATGGATAATGTTATTCTCCCTGAGATTCGAACCCAACACCCATCTGTTCAAACACTAGGCAGTCGAGCTATGAGAATCACCTCTTATTGCATCATATTTACCATAAGGCATCTTTGAACCATCCTACAGTAGCAACCACCATGTCAGCAGATACTGGAACACATTTCAGCCAAATAGTATCAATTAAATGGCGGAAATTTCAAATAACTTTAACAAATAACAATCTTGCATACTTTCATGAAATTTTTTTTTTAAAAACAGAAATTTTCGTGATAATCACTTACGCAGTCATCATTTTGTGGATGAAATTTTGAATTTGCATATGAAGTGACACAGAACAGCTCTACAGTCTGTCATACATCAGTCAACACAGGAAGTCAGCTGATTTTAAATATCCAGTTGACAAGTATCTCAAGGAAATACGGATTATGCATTACCGTCTTAGCATGGTGCGCAGACTTAAAATATTTAGCATTGTTAGTTAGTACCGTACCTGAGTGTTTCAAACAAACACACACACACACAAATACATAAAGCTACTCCTTAGTTAAACGATTAGTGAGTACAGTCACGTGAAAGATACCCTATTTCACGTGGAGTTATAAATTATGCCTTCAAGTTAAGTATTCTGTAGAAGGAACAATAATTAAAATATAGAGTTATTTTCGCTACACAATTAGATGGCAGTTTTAACTGTGACATTACAACAAGATTAAATATGATCATACAATAACGATTATTGACTGGAACAGTTTTCTGACAGTGGAATCTAGAACTCTGAGTGTTATTTTGGGTCTCATAATACATTGAATACATCTGACCTTTGAAGTTTCAGTATCAGCGAGTGGTGTTTTCTCTCCTCTAGAGGATGGGTTTGTTCACCTCACACTCAACTTGCAAGCAAGCTAAGGAGGACATCGGTGATTGGGAATCAAACCTCAGAGCACTTCCATAGTTACTGACTGGTGGGTGTCAACAATGAAACCCACGAAACTTGAGTGCAACCAAGGCATCCTACCAATTGCCTCAAACCATCTAATACCTTTTAAATACTATTTTATTTTTATTTTTTTATTTTGATTACAACTTGATACCACACCGTATTTTCAGTACAAGTATGGAATTTTCAGCATGGATATCGGTAGCCCAAATTTTGCAGGCCGACCATAGATATCAGGTGTGCGTCGGCAGGAGATCAAACCCTGGACCATGTGCATGGTCGATGAGAGTCCTAACCGTTGTGCCACCGACGCACCGAGAGCTCATTCCCTATGAATGTGGGATGTAGTCAGCTGGTTTAGACAACTCGCCGAAACACTTCTGTATACCCATCACCGATAATAATTAAACCACAAATAAATAAAATCCACAAAAAATAAAATATCATCACACTTACTAAGATGGCCACCGTTGAGGAGAGTACCAATTTGCAAGGCTTTCATGTGTTGTTTCAAGTCATTTGATGATGAACACTTTAAGTCATCGAACAAATCCTCCATAGTGGTGAAATGAATAGAAGAAGTATGTCGTTTAGTTTTCTCCTTTTCCTCCTTGTTCTTCCTCTTTTGAGTTTATGTGCATATATATATAGTTTAATACTTAATTTATTTATATATATCTATCTGAAAACCAAAATATAAGGAAAACAAACACATAAAATATTTTTGTTTCGAAACGAAAGAAACAACAACAAAAACACGAAAATGGTGAGTAGAAAGGGAATGTATGAAAAACCTTTTGGTTTCATTCGATGATAATGATAAGCTAAGAGACAGAGGCAGATAGGTAGATAGATAGAGAGGTAGGAAGGTAGAAAGGGAAGGAGGTATGTAGGGAGAGTGAGTCAGTGAATGAGCCAGTGAGCGAGTAAGTAACACGCGCACACTATACACTACACTTCTGTTCTTCTTTGTAACAACTGGGTGTTTTTTTGTCACTTCGTGTGATCAACACTAAAATGTCCCTTCCATCTTTCACTCTGTATGTGTGCAAGTGGGTGTGCGTGTGTGTTATCGGCAGTGGTTATATAACCTTCATCATGCCTTACATGTTGCATTTTCACATGACGAACTTTATTACTAGTTACTACTGATATTATTATCAGTAATATATTATCATTGAGTAATTAGAACTGATTCGTTCATTGGTTGGTTTATTTGTTTGTTTGTTCGTTCGTCTGTTGAATACTTTTTTATGTCAGTAGGGATATTCTGTGTCACAAATGGTGCACCAGATCTCTCTATCTATCTATCTACCTACTAGTTCTACTACTTATTTCCATGTATGCAAATGAACTTGTTAATGTGTGATAATTTCGATACAATATGGCTGAATAGTAGTAGAAGTAGTAGTAGCAGCAGTAAGTAGGCGAAATTCGCTTGATTTATGTATGCAGCCTACATGTGAAAGAGAAATGTGGGTGGATTCTGCTGGAAGTAACATAAGGAAGGAAGGAATGAAGGAAGATGGAGAAACGGAGACAGAGAGCCAGAGATAGGGGGGCTGGGACAGAGACAAAGAGAGAGAATGAAATGTTCTCTTATTGTAATACCAATATTCGAATACCAAAAGAATTTCTTATCATTTCCATTATTCCGCTAAGGGCTTTTATGAAGAAGGCGACCACTGTTGTTTTTTTGTCGTATTAGAAAAAGAGGAAAGTTGTTTACGAACGAAAATGAAGTTTCTATTCCTATAATATTTGATTATATATATTATAAGGTTGTCTGGTATTCTTCAACTTTTGGTCATAATCTCACTTCGTCAACAAGTACTACTTAAATCCCAGTGTATCAGTAAGAATGTTGGTCACTTGACCCTGTGAGGTATGTTGACAACAAATGTCTAGCTTCTTTGTTCATTTTATTATTATTATTATTATTATTATTATTATTGATATTCCCTTGGGTTCCGAATAGGACATGGGGTTTCAACAACATGTCTCTATTTTATGTTGTCCTCTGTCACCGTTATATGCCCTGTTCTGTGTTTTCCATTCGGATTCCACTCGATGACCTGTCCATTGTGTAGTGTCACTCAGCAGTTTCCTCTGAAACATCTCCGTTTCCTTTGGTATAACTGTTGGATAATAGATGCTATCATGTTCGTTCCGTATGATCTCCAGTATGGAAAGAAAGCAACTGTTTGAATGAAGTTTGAAGCCTGTTCAAAAAGCTTTTGGTGTGATGGGTGGGCAAAGTCTGTGAACTATATAGAAGAAATGATCCGATATTACTGTTTAAAATCTCACCCTCATGCTGACTGCAGCAGTTTTCTGCATTCATACCAGAGTAATAAATATCTGATCCCATCAGAGGGTAAATTTATTTGACAAAGTCTCACAGTGTTATACAGTATTAAATATTCACAAGGTTGGCAACTACTTCACTACCACGGGGTGCCACCGACAATTATACATCTCATCCAACAGCTGTACGACAATGCTGCATGCCAAGTAATCCACAACGGGAAACTTACGGAACCCTTCGAAGTGAGGACAGGAGTAAGACAAGCTGGCTGCATACTATCGCCAATGATTTTCCTGATCGCAGAAGACTGGATAATGCGACAAACAGCGAGCAATAAGGAAACAGGCATAAAATGGACTCACACAAAAAACTTGGAGAATCTGGATTTCGCTGACGATTTCACACAGGTTGGAATATATGCAAGCGAAAAGCAACAAGTTGGCAGAAGAAGCATCCAGAGAAAATAGGACTTCAGGTGAACATAGATAAAACAGAGGTGATGAAGATTCCTGTGCAATACCACCAACATCAACAACAACAACGGACAATAATCAGCATAAATGGGAGGAAGCTGAAAGAAACAACCTCCTTCACCAACCGACCTGGGAGGCATCGTTTCATCTACAGAAAGACGGAACTGACGAGGATATCAAAGCAAGAATCGGAAAAGCAAGACAAGCTTTCACTACTCTCAAGTCTGTGTGGAGGTCAACAGAACTCAGCATCAAAAATAAGATCCGAATTTTCAACTCCAATGTGAAGTCAGTGCTACTCACTATAGGGATCAGAGACTTGGCGAGCGCGTCATAAAGAGCATCTCAAACAAACTACACACCTTCATCAACAGTTGTATTCGCTCAATACCACTCAAGATCAGATGGCCGGCCAGAAAAGATCAGCAACAGAGATCTCCGGCAATGAGCGAACCAACTCAGCAGGAACCGATTGTGAAATAAATAGGGAGGAAGAAATGGAGATGGATTGGCTGGCCATACTCTGAGGAAACAAACCATCAAGTGACATCACTGGACAAGCCATCGCTCGAGTGGAACCCGACTGAATGGGAAGCGGCGAATTGGTCGTCAGTGCAAGGGTGACTTGGGGGAGGTCATGTGAAGAGGAGATGAAAACGTGTGGGCAGACTTGGAGCGAGGTGAAAACTCTAGCAGAGAACTGAACGCAATGGAGACGCACGGCTGAGGCCCTATGTTCCTCTAGGAATTAAAGGAAACAATAATAATAGTATAATATGCTAGGTTTTTAGCACAATTTACTGCTGCCCATAATCTGTTATGTATGTGAATATGAGGACCTTGTAGACTACGAGCGAATCTAACTAATGCGCTGGCTAATCTGTCTTAATCGCACGTCAACAACCACAACAATACCGCCGGGCACGCAAGACAAATAAAAGAGAAGACTGGACGTTGATATGAGAGCTTTTACTGTCTCAAACAACAGTCGAAAATGTTAAACAACAACTCCGTATTTATACAATTAGAAAAATCAATGTCACCTTTTAAAAATATTAACGACCTTGGGGATTCAGTAATTTAAATCAATAATCACGCAGATGCGTGAAATCAATGATTATGCTGCGTATATATTACCTCCCCCTTTTAAAAAGAATCTTGCAATCAGTTTAGTATCTTTTTTCCTTGGGGTCGATTTGGAAAGGAACTGTTTGTGTTCGTTTGCGCTGGGATCGTCGGCTGGGTAGCATCTCTTGTTTTGCTTCTGATTTGACTGGTGGTATTTTGAAGGTTTCCAGTAGTAATTCCAGTGGCAATTTAGGTTCTTGGGATGTAGTATATCGACGTCGTATCTGATTTTTATGTCTAATCCACCATTCATCCCCAACTTTAACCTTGTACATTAGAGTTCCATGTCGACGTTCTATCAAGCCTTCGGCCCATTTTCTGTTCCTCGGTCGATAATCGCGCACATAGACAGCATCACCCTTGCGGTAATACGTCACACTATTTCTTCGTTGCTGTGACGAAGATGGTAACATGGAGTGGTGATGAGTTCGTAGCATTCGACCCATTAGAAGTTCTGCAGGGCTTTT